ATAGTCTGAAAATCTAAATCTATATAATAATACCAATAATCACCAAATTAATTGTAAATGGCAATATTTATTAGTTGCAGACAAGCTGATGTTCAGTATTAAAAGAAAAAAAAACAAAAACGAGCCAGTGACTGGAAATTGAATAATTAATTAATTTGTTGTTTATAGCAGAAAAGCTGGACTGTATAGGAAATATTTTTAGTATTTTATGACATCATATAGACCAGAAATGAATCGATATTGACAATATTTGTCAGTTTCAGGCAGGACTAACGTTAGGATTAAAGAAATGAACGAGTTGCTTTAAGATTAATAAATAATTGCCATGTTTAAAGTGGAAACACCACCTGGTTTTATTGCTCATTTAATAAAGCAAAAATTACATCTTTGGACAGCGTAAGAAGCTTTTTTTTATTACCCAAAGTATTAATACAAAATCTACAAATAATCAACAAATTAATCAGTATTGACAATGTTTGTTAGTTGCAGACAGATTGATGTTAAGGATTTAAAACAAACAAGCTAGCGATCAAACAATTATTCATTAATGGACACATTTAAAGCTAAAACACTACCTGATTTTATTGGTCGTTTTTAATACTGTCTTGTAACGTTATAAATCATTGGGTTTGATCTACAGTCAAGAAATAATCAACAAGTTGATCAATCAGTCAAGCCAATAATGATAGAATAATTGATGAACTGGTTGTTTATAACAGCAAAGATGCATTTTTCACTATTTCATGATATTGTATTGGCCAGTATTTTGCAATCAGACATAAATGAATAATTAATCATTAATGACAGTTATGAGCTCACACAGTCAAATACAACAGAAATGGAAAGAAAAGAAAATCCCCATTAGAAATGTAACAGCCACAGATGTACAGTAAAACCTCTGCAGCACGAGGGACTACAGTAATAAAGCCCACGCATGACACACACCCTCACTTAAATAAAGACAGAGCAGGCACATAAGGCAGCCATTATTAGACATCACAGGCATGCAGTATTGATGGACAGGGAAAAATATTATCAGTTAATTTTTAATTCCACGTCTTTCCAAATGTTTTTTAGATCCCACTCTCAGTTACAACACACTGCTTCCACGTGAAAGTAAGGCATGTTTTTATGTGCAAAAAAACAAGACTGAATAGCATTTTGCCTGATTTAAGGCGTTTTCCCCTCATCTCACTGTGTTTCTCTCCATGTAACCGGCCATTTTATAGTAATGGTTAGAGTGGAGCCTCTGAAGTACACGTCTCCGTGCTGGGACCGAGTCCCGCCGCTGCCGTCGCCGCTCCCTGCCACCCAGCACTCTCAGAGAAGAGGCGCTAAGGGGACCTCTGGCTTTGCTTTCCATCTTCTGGAGCACCATCAACATCTTCAGAGCATTTTTGTGTTTTCATAGCATCTTTGGCGCATTATGACCACCGTTAGATCTAATGTAACGTATTAGTCCTCCCACCCGACCATTTCCCTTCATTTTGATTCACTCTCTATCCAGGCTTTGATTGACTTTCAGCCTAACTAAAGTGGATTTTAATGAGAGAATACATTAACTCCCTCTGGTCATGCTAACATAAATCAGCCTTTTCTTGCGGGATCAACTGCTGAGCTCATAACACCATGCTGGGAGAGTGTGAATAACCAAATGAGAGATTGTGGCTTTGGCAAACCGCTGGCAGCTTGGATGCATTGTTATGTATTCATGTATCCCCTCTGAGTTTTAACACGACTTCAGGAAGGCAGCAGAATGGAGCACTTATCGGCACGCAGGTCGGCTAGCTTATGGAAACGTTCCTTTGTCGGAATCAATTAAACACATATCTCTGGTCAATTTTCCATTGATTATCTCCTTACATTTGGATCTTTTCGTACTGATGACCGCTGAGAGCCGTTAGATTCAGTTAGCGCGGCCAGTAGCAACTCCTCACCTTGATTTACGAAACACGGGATGCGACTCTAACGCCACATCTATCTGCTTCTCTTTGTTGGTAATTGCACTCAGCTAAATAGGTTATGCTGAATATCAATAAATTGCCATCAAATTAATGTCAATACCAAAGCTGTGGATGGTGCTAATTAAAACGCAAAAGGGATGAAAATGAAGTCATGGCATTGCCCTGAATAATTGATAACGCAATTTATGATTTTTATGAAAGAGTGCCGTCTGTCTGCGATTTTGATGAGGCCTTAATTAGATGCATTAATGTGTCTCTCTGTGCCTGTACTCAAACTCAAACACCATGATGATTTTGGAGTTTTTTTAACACCCTAAATTACACATTTTCAAATAACATTACCTCAGAATATCCTCTTAAAAAAAACACAAAAGAGGTGTTAGTGTGTAATTCTCATTAAAGGAGGCATTGTTAACTCAGGACCAATCAGAGTCTGCTTATTTTAGGGTGGGATCAAGCGGCATTGGACAGCGAGAGGATTTTAGATTGTGCCGCTACCCTGTGGATGAATCTCGAGCTATTGTTTCGCCGCAGTCGATGTTTGCAGCCGTGTTCACGATGCATGCAAGGATAGTCAAGTGGAGGTCAGGTCACCTGGCGTTAAAGTGTTAAGCACGCACGAATGTGTAATGTTTATTGACTCAAGTAGATCAGAGTGATCCTGTGTTGATTTTGCACCTCCTCATCTATTAGCCGGGCCGACTTTGCAGATAAATGAAGAGCGAGGGAAGCAGACGGATGAGGGGATTAGAAGTGGGCCACAACAGGGAAGCAGGACCAGAAAAAAAAATGGACGGACTGCCGGCGGATAGATGAGGTGGAGGAGCATAATGACCGCTGTTTGTTATGATGTACCGAATCAGGTTCTCTTTGACAAAACAGTCCTTAGCACCTCTGTATTTATAGTGTCACCGGTCAGTCCATCCACAAAGGCAGGCTGATGATATGTGAGCGTGTTAGTGCTGTGAGGTGTCTGGGGCTCAGCTCCGGAATGACCCGCTCATCTGTCAGGACCGCAAACCGAAGCCACGAGGGGTTATCAGATCACACACAGGTTTGTGGTGAACTTAAATCTCAGAGATGTTGGCCTAGCAAAATGAATAAATAAATAAATAAAACAGTAATAGCTCTATTTCGCTCTCTGGAGCTGAGTTGTTTAGATGAAACTCGCTGCGAATAGATGGCAAATAATAAGTTCAGGAGTGGCCATTCAGCTGGGCTAATACCCACTTAGTTTTCTCCTTGTTGGTGATTTTTATGAATGACACAGAGGTTCCTGTTTGTCTAACGTTGGGGGATGCTCTTTGTTTGACCCAGAGGAGCCAGTTGTGGGTTGACATGTTTGGTTTTTCCCAGCAGTTAAACAGGCCCTCTCTGAGGGGGATGGACTCCAGGCATTCCCCCTGTCATCGCTGCTCTGAATGGGGGTGTCACACGGACTCGTGTAAATGGTCTTTGAATTGTTCCTGTGTTTCAGACTAAAAAGGGAGCTCCTTCTCTTCCTCTGCTCCTCCAATCCCAGTTGACTAATGAACTCAGAGGAAGCTGAGCTTTGTTTTTGACATGTAGAAAAGCCAGGTACTCCCACTGAAACACAGGGAGGAGGATGGTCTATGAGGTCGATGTAAGGTCAAGTTCCTCTCTAACAGCTAAAGGCTAGAAAATGGGAAAATACTTTGATTTTCTTCTGACAGGTTCAACAATAACTTCAACATGGAGCAGCTGGTTTAAATTGCATCTCTTCAGGCAACTTGCTGTGGAGTGTTTATCTCATATAACTGCAGCATTATAACAAAGAGAAATGTTAAAGCTACTCTCACTGTTCTGAAAAGGTTACTATTCAGTGTTAGTCATGTTTTTTACCTGCAACAGAAACATTATTTCAGATACTTCAATAGTTGTTTGAGTGGTTCTGATCAGGCTTAAATTACCAGATAACATTTTATACATAAAATTTCTCTATACTATTTATATATCTACAGATAAACGGTTTCTAATGGGTATCTCATTGTGTGGTGCATGTCTCAATGGAAACATGTTTCCTACATGCTGACACTTTTTACCCACATTTAGATACAAAGTCTTTTCAACAATCTGAGAAAACAGCCTTTCACTTTTCACTCTCCAGTCAAATCTCAACGTTGTTTAACCCTCCGGAGTGAATATCCAAATCACATGACTGATTTAAAATGACCCTGAGCAAGACACAGCCGCGCCGAGTCTTCATTTCAGCTTGTGTTGAAAGTGCCGACTTCAAACTATATACCAGTTTTTACTCCTAACGGTGCGGAGATCTGGATTTTATTGACAGACTGATCCTTATAAGTCCTACAACAACAGAAATGGACGCCAACAAAATAATAACTATGCTTACAATATCTATGTTTTAAATGTAAGCTTTCTAGATATTTTATGATTTGATAATGATGCGTTAAACTATGTAAAATAATACATACATAATTAAACGTGTTCTGAAGCACGTTTAGTGTTATATTTCAGATCATCTCAGTAGATATTTGGGGTTCAAGTATTTATTTTAGTTTGATATTGCAAAGGTAATTGATCATAACCTAACTATCATCCTGTCATGTTTAAATTTTGACTCTGCACACTGACGAGAGGTTTTTAATCCCCACAGGAAGTTTCCTCTCATTAAAATGCAATGTGAGCAGATGAATGGAGTGCACTGCTCAGCAGCACTGTAGAAGTATTGATCCCAGTTTCCTAAAGACTAGCAGGGATGTATTTGATCCACGGGGTTAGAGACTTTATATTCTGATGTGTGTGAAGTGCCTTGAGGGAAAAAGGGAAGTGTATGTGTAGCTTATAAGGAGTTAGTGAGGAAACAATTAGTTGTTTTGTCAATTAGCTGATTCACTGGAAAAAAATGTTAACAAAGCTTGAAGTCGTTTTTCAAGAAGGAAATTCTCAGATTTCAGCTTCTCTCATGTGAGGAACTGTTTCTTTTTCATTTGTGATTATAAATTGATTTTAGACAGACATAACAAGATGTTTCACGTCTGGTTGCTCTCACAGACGATGAGGATATCCTTCCAGTGGCAGCCTATGAGCTCACCAACATCCTGAAGCAAGGTTACTTGGAAAAGAAACGAAAAGGTACGACAACAGATAGAATATCAACAGTCTCTCTTTCATTTGTCTCGCTTTTTGATCTGTTTACACACAAAAAATTGGTTTCCTGTGAATAATTTCCTTTTTTTGCTTTGGTTTTTCGTTAGACCACAGCTTCTTTGGACCAGAGTGGCAGAAGAGATGGTGCATCCTGAACAATTCGATATTCTACTACTTTGGGAGTGAAAAAGGTTTGTTTTCAAATGCCACCATGTGGAAACATCGCAGCTGCATAATTTTAAATTGGATTTCATCCCACTGCGTGTTCTCCTCTCCCCCCTACAGATAAACAGCAGAAGGGTTCATTTTATATCAATGACTACACTGTACAGATGGTGACCAACCTGAGAAAAGACTCCAAAAGAAAAGCCTGTTTTGAGCTCAGTGCTCCCGGAAAACGGCCCTTCCAGGTCTGTATTATCTCTGTATTATTATTATTAAAGAAATAAACTCCAGTAAAATCATGTCTTATTAACAGCTGACATGATTTCTTCTGGCAAAGAATATATAATTATATATACTATAGTTTGATGGAGTCCTGCAACGATTTTGCAAAGGTTTTTGTAGGCCAATCCAAAAATTAGCATTGCCCTGGTTCCTTAGACAATAGGCTGGTTGGATTTTAACATTAGTTTTTTTGGATTATTTCGGAATTTCAGTGGGAAAGAAAAAGCTTATATAAATAAGCTTAAATAAAGCTTTATGTCACCACCATCCTTTGTCCAGGATAGCCACTCCTCCTCTGCACATGGCCAAACCAGCTGGTTTTAACCATCTAACCATCAACCATCATGTAACCTGTTTAAAAGACCCCATTGACTTTTGAGTTCAGGAAACTTGAAGAGCAAAATGTTAATGTAATTTCTGGGTCTTAGGATTCATTCTTTTGGCACTTTATCGAGACTTTTGGGGATTGTAAAAGGGTGCTTAAACATATTTGGTCTCTGAATTAAAACTAAACTGCAGTAAAAATACATTTTACTGAAATGATATCGTCAGAGCATACTTAGTCCCCCACAAACTTCTGAAAAGTTTATTTTTCTCCTGTAAAATGTCACTGTGCGTCACATTGTCTGTGCCTATAAAAGGTTGACATTCATCCTCTCACGCACACTAAGACCACTAAAACAATCGGTGAGACCCATGAGGGCAGGTATCGAGCTGCTGACCCTGTAATTATTGGGCATCCCACTCCACTATCAAAGTCACAGCTGCCTCAAACATTATCAGATTATCTAGACTAATACAATTTTGCTTTTTTTGGTTTTTTATTGTTGTATCCCTGGTTCTGTTTATTAGGTTTTTATTGTAATCCTCAGGTCTTGATTTTCCTTCTTCTGCCTCCTATATTCCCATCGGTCTCATCATCTCTACATCTCTTTCAGTTTATTTCCTGTTTTATTTTGAAGGTTAGATATTCAGGTGATTTTCTGTAGTTTTACTTCCTTCCTTTGTTCTTTTTCCTGCTCTCGTTAGTGTCTGATTACCTGTTTCTTATTACCCTTCTCTCCTTGTGTCTAGTCTGTCTTTAAAGTCTTACGTTTTCTTATTTGAAGATTTAAACTATTTAGTTTTTTTTAACCTCTTATTATCATGCAGACCTCTAAGTTTCTAAGTTTGAATTGAAGAATGTCGCCCCAGCTTCAGCCTGGTTTTCAGTCTGTGTTTGGGTTGAATGTGTTTTTTGTGACATTTATAAACTAAAGATGTAGTTTGATAAATGTACACGTGGAATGCGTTTTTGTTTTCCAAGTCATTTAATTTTTAGTTAGATTCAGATATTTTTTTTAACATTTCACAGCTATTTTAAAAAGAGCAATATCTGTTCTTTCTTTTTCTCTCCTCTTATATGGCTAGAAATAAAAATGAATAAAAATCCAGGCACATAAATGCACGTTTAAATTATAATCACAGTATTATTATTGCCGCTCTCTCCTTCCAGTTCACTGCCAGCAGCCCTCAAGAGGCCAGAGAATGGGTGGACCAAATCAATTTTGTACTTAGAGGTAAGCCAGCTTCTCTCTCTCTTTTTCTTTTTTCTTTATTTGACTTTTTCTGACTTATTGCATATGACTCATTATGGAAAACCACTCCCTGCCTTGTTTTCCTCCTTTCTCTCTGCACTGTTCAATGATAGCCCATTCTTAAGACAAATATATATTGTTATATATAAATAAAATTGACTTGGCTTTTTAAAAGTCACATAGGTTAAGTGGAAAATACAGTTAAAGCAGTATAAATGTTCTAAAAAATGTTCTTTTGTACTAAAGTTTTCTTGTGTTTTCGAGGGGCAGAAAGGTCAGAAGTGCAAGGGAGTTCTTTGTCATCTCTGACTCATACGAAAACCGCCCCATCCATCACTAACTACACAGCTGAACACAAGAGTCCTGAATCACCTCATTCGACATGTCACCCACCATGTCATGTGCACCATCGTGTAGCTCTGGTTCTCCTCCACTCCTCCCCTAACCCTCCTACCGAATTCCAACTTACAGGAAATTGATTGGTAGATGTTCTGGTTATCCTCCAGTGACATTGATTTCTGCTTGGCTGCTGGTGTACGGCAGAGGACCTGATACCCTGTGTTGCAATGGCCAGTCGCCTGCAATGAGACAGCTCCTCCATCTGAGCGAGCAGTCGTGCCTCGTCTACGCTAAAATGGGCTCGGGCCGGGCCACTGATTTGCGGGAAGTAACGGACACTCGGCAGTTTGTCTTACTTCCTCCCACCCCCCACGCCTTTTTTTTTTTTTACTACAAAAAAAACAGAGCATGCAAATGATTATTTATCCTCTTCACCTTCAAATTTATCTGAGTGCATCGGCACGCTTTCCAGAACGTTTTGCCTTAAATGCAAGGACAGAGAAAGAGAGAGAGAGGGGGCGTATGAGATGCAACAAAAGATGCAGTTAGATGGGATGCATCTTCATCTGTAGGACGACCCAGAATGAATATGATAAACAGATGGTAAGCAGGAACCACAGGGATGATGTGAGAGGGAGAGGCTTCTTATTGGATTGTGGAAAATTATAAAGTGAAAATCAACAACAACCGATAACTTATTAACATCTGCTAGATCTGACCTTTCAAATGTGCTTTCCCCTTTGTGTTTTATCCTTTTCCTCTAGGTCTGAGCTGTCAGACAAAATGGAAATTATAACCGCTTTTTTTCTCTGGCGTTTTAACAATAATTTATTGCTTAGTTGAAAACAATATAAAGGCTAACAGCTAATGAGCATGATAACGGTTTGCAGCATGTTTCGGGGGCACCAGTGTTTGTCACCGCTGCTGTTTGGCACGTGTCTCGGCCCCGTTGTGCAGCGAGGACGTGGCGGACATTTCTCTTACTTTAGCCCTTAATGCATGTCTCTGTCTTTTGTGCCACGCTGTGACGCTAACACTTTCTATCACATTGTTTCCCCTTCCCTCGTAGATCTCAGCTCCAACTTCATCCCCGTCGATGACGAGGAGGAGGACGAGGATACCTACGATGACATCGAGGGGGTGGCCAACGAAACCCCGACTCGGCCGACCCTGGCCTCCCGGGGAGGAGGAGTAGGCAGAGGACAGGAGATAGAGGAGGAGGATGACGAGGAAGAAGATATCTACGAGGAGCTGCCAGGTATGAGGATGTGGTTGGACACACACTTGCGCAGATAAATAAACAGAGAAGTGACGCACACACACAACCCCTCATGATACTCAGTCAGACAGACGCTCAAACCCTGGGGGATTTTTGCAACATGAAATATCTGCCATCTTTCCCTGCTGCGAAATTTGTGTTGCCAGGTTCCTCGAGACTGATCGCTCATTTTAAATCAAGCAACACTAATAAGCTTGTCAGCACCGGGGTGGCTGCTGCAGGACAGGAAGAGGAAGATTCACTTACACCTACTCCAAATCTGCTCCCTCCTTATCTCTCTGAACAAGTTATGTTGTTGAAATCAGCGAGAGCTGGCTAGTTTCGCTCCGTCATAGACCGTCCAATTAGCTAATGTTGCCAGGCAACAAATGGCCCACAGTTCAATCCACTAAGCAAGAGTTTTGGCTAAAATTGCCTGGCAACAGCAATTTAGATGAAAGGAAGTAAAAACTGCATCTCGCAGAGCTTAAAATAGATCTGAAGCTCTTAATGTCACATCTTTAATAGAAATTAGAGTTTGACCGACGAGACCCCATGACTGTGTGTGTGTGTGTGAGTGTGTGTGTGAGAGACAGTCCCATGGCTACAAGATCCCAAGAAGGACAAAAGGGGGTGATCCGATCTTCTCAGGGCCGTCGTCCATCACTCGTTCTATTAGATAAGATACATCAAGATTCAGTTTCACTCAGTGAGTACATTACCTTTGCCAAAATCACTGGTGAGAGGGGAATCAGTCTTCAAACTGTCACGCCGGCGTTCAGAGCCATCTGGGAAGAGGTACCGACCCTGACCACAGATGGCATATCGAATGACGGGCTCTTTCGTTCACTTTCTCACCCCTTCGCTTATCAGTCATGCTGCACCTCCCTCTGCTCGGCTTTTACACAGTGATTACAGACTGTTCAATAATTCAATTTGGGAGTAATTTTCACTGATCAGCTGCCATGTTTGCATTTAGGAACCTTTCTATCTCTGCAAATAGAAGCATTTATTCCATTTGTAATTAGTAAAAAATGTCTTCATATAGCACACGTTTACTTTTAGGTTTTTTCCCCCCCTGACCTTAAAATAAACAAATTATTGTGACACTTGTGAAAGCTGTGTATGATTTAAAAATAGTGCTGTTTAATAGTAAATTAAAGCAACTATCTAACACAGAACAACAAAACATTACAGCTTAGAAATAACATGATAGAGGGTTAAGAGTGATGAAAATTACGGTAAAACCACAGTAATAACCTAGCTTGGTATCATCAACAGATAATATGAAACTGAAATCTATATTTCGGGATAAAAGCAGGCAAAAACAAAAGGAGGGTGAAAACTGCCTCTGCATAATGGCATGAATTAAGTCCCTGCATCCAGAAAGATCTGTATCTGGATTAGTTTCTGACGTTGGATGCATTTGTGAGGGCATGGCCCCAAATTTCCATTTTCTTTACAACCACATCCAAATCTGGATTCCCACTGACTCTAGAAGTTAATCATTAACTTCATAATTTCTCAGTTGAGCAAAGACCCACCTCAAATCCTCTCCAAGTAGTCCTACTAAAAAAAACAAAAACAGAACAAACAGAAACAATCTCACAACCTCCTTCCTGAATGTAATAATAAGGAAACACATTTAAGGATGGCTTAATAATAATTTAATGATCCAGTTTTGTTACCAGTCTTGTATATTAAATGTAATATTTGATTAATCCATGCTTTACCCTTTGTTACATACAGACTAATACAGCTAGATGTAGCTTCTGTTAATATGATGCTATTACCTGATTATTACTGATATTACTATGATATGGAAACACTTGTGGGTTGTACTGATTATTCATGGGTCACTTGCTTTAGTATTATTGTAGGCTCTTTGCCTTACAAGATAAAGCACCTTGAGGCAGCTACATAAATAAAACTGAATCCAACTGAATTAACCTTGGTGGCATGCATTCCTCGTGTGCGCTCGGGTTCGATACTGTCTGCCCACCTTCCTGTCATCTCTTACTGCCTAATAAAAGCAAAAAAGCCAGAGATGATTCTAAAAAAATATACAATTTTATTCATTTCTAGTCACGTTATTTGTTCTAATATGGCCGGGGCTGCAGCTCCAGCAGATGGAGGCATGGTTCTCCTTTTGTGTGATGAAAGTTATTAAACGACATAAAACCAGCACTGTTCTGCTGCACTTTGGTTTAGAAAATGCCGTCTGTGACCGAATAAACTGATGTGTAACCACTCAACCTGAGCAACATGTAACCACCAGCCGGTTTTCGTGGTGCTAATGTTAGCAGCAGGAAAGAAAGGAAAGAGGTCTGAACACGTTTCAGCTCCAGTTTTGTAATCTAATTCTTAAAATGTTTATTCAGAGGCAGCTTTTGGATCTGTAGGCTCTTCAGACTTGTCTGTGCAGACCTGACAAGGGACTTGACAAGTTTTGCCTAGATATACTCGCATGCTTGCTGTAGTAGTAACCTCAGTTTTTTTAATGTTTTATGATTGCTATGCTAGCTGATTATTTTAATTCTATTCTATTCTATTTATATAGCGCCAAATCACCACAACAGTTGCCTCGAGGTGGTTCACATTGCAAGGTAAAGACCCTAAAATAGTTACAATAGATTAGTAACCTTTTAGTGACTTTAACTAGGAAGAGAGAGGAAGAATGTCCTGTGAGAGTGTCCTGGGTGGAGAGGATAAACTGTCTCCTGTAGGGCAGGAGAGAAAAGGCGCTCCTGGAGAAAGCCCTGTTAGTGCTAACCGCTGAGCCACCAGGCTCCCAGCTGTCACCAGTGTCGTAACATGGTACTACCGATGAAGTTTTAAAAGGGACCTCCACTCGTGTTCTTAAATTGGAATGCAAAGGAAGTCTCACAATGTCTTATTTGATAGTTTCCTTCTGATGTGTTTCGAGTGCTGACGGCAGTGAAGTTTGCAAACTTGCAAAATGACATCCGTGACTGCAGCATCCATTTTTAGGCGATGTCAGTTTTGTCGCAGCAAAACTCAGTTGCAGGCAGAATGCAGAGCAGCGGCTGGTATTGGCTCTGATGCTGATGACTGATTTTATTGACTGGAAAATTAAATCACTTTGATATAGAAACCGTTGGCCCATAGCGGTGGCCTCTCGATGGAACGATGCTCGCAGTCGAAGAGCACCAAACAAATGTTTGGACCCGCTGCGAGCACATTTAAAATCTCATTTTTTTATCTTTTGGATCATTTGGTGTAGGAACAAAGTGCCGCAGTTTGTACTTTTTTAAATTTATTATTATTATTTTTTTAAAGAAAGCTGTGATTATCTGTTTGAAGAAAGAAAGCAACGGGGAAAGACAAAGGCATCCCTCATGTATACATAAACTAAACTTTTTACATTCAAGCTGGACACATGGTGTGTGTCTGTTTCTGTGCGTGTGTGTGTGTGGTTCGTGTTTCCTGCTCTTCCTGGAAGCAGAGGTGCAGCCTGTGCTGGAAGGTGGATAGTGTTGCTGGGTTGTGGCGTTGCTGTCAGCCGGTTTGTGTGGAGGATGGATGTGGGAGACAGAGGGCAGGCATATCACCGTGTCACCTCTCAGACCACCGGGTGCCACGCCCCGCAGTCAATGACATGTCCGCCTCCGCGTGGCTTAAAAAAAACTCTTCTTCTTTAACATTTCCCGCCTGCGGTTTAATAGGCTGATCCTCACGCCAGAGTTCATCCTAGTTAAAGAAGAATTAACAGCTTGTGTCATGCTGAGATTCATCAGGGATTTGCAAATGATCCAGTTTATTAATTTTTCTGTTTGTCTGGCTCTATCATAATTTCTTTGCTGTTCATTTCTCGTTAACACGTGGGACAAATATAAATTATTTATAAACTATAGTTGTTAAAGTCAGGCCACCAGCAGGTAATGCCTTTTATTATTATTAAAAATTAAATGTATTTCTTTTAGACACTGATATTAAAATATTTAGGCTCTGGATAGGGCTGCACACTTTGTCGAATTTTTAATTTAAATATCAATTTTGGCTTCAAGCAATTAATAAAACAAGCTGAGCAATATAAAATGTTTAACACGGATTCTTTGGTTTTGCCTTTCAGCACATCTGCCTCTGCAAAGACTTGGTTCAGTTTTGCATTAATTTATTTAGTTTTTGGTTGAAGTTAAAATTCAAGTGGCTGAGTGGGGTCAGTCATGTATTTTAATGCACTGTTGCGATGTTTTATTCATTTAAAATGTTTGCTACTGTAATTCTGTTAATCTACCTCTCCTGCTATTAATTATTTACAGTAATTTTTTAATGGAAGTTTCTGTTCTGGTGATTTTTAATATTATAAGCTTTGATTTTAGTGTAACTTTCCCCTGCACTGTCATGTTTTCCACGGCTAATGGCCTAGAACAAGATTCAGAGATAACCTGGAGTACTTGGTGTTTGACCAGCCAGTGCAGACATGCATGTGGACAGCCTTTCAGGGATATTAGGACAGTGTGTGTTTCAGCTAATAGATCCCATCCAAACCAGACAAATGTCACATACATACTTTGTTACATACAGACTAATACAGCCACATATAGCTTTTGTTAATATGACACTATTACCTGATTATTACTGATAATTAGATCCCATCTAAACGTGACATGAAGAGTAGGTGGAACTGCAATCTCTGAACTTCTTTCAGCAAAATAAAATCTTATAAAACACAATTAATTACATTCAATTTGTAAAATGTCTTTCATAGGTAAAGGAAGCCATACAGGTATAATATACACTAAAAAATAATGTCATATTTTTGTTACGTGAGGGTTAAAAAGACAGGTTTCTTCTTTGATGATTAAATCATGATTTGAGCATTGACCAAAGTAATTGTGATTATGAGTAATCCTACTTCTACACCTGTGATAAATACTCTTGTTCTTCCTTTTTTGTTTGTTTAGACGAAGAACTTGGAAATCCAGGTGATGAGAGCGACGAGAAGAGCAGCAAACAAGGTTTCCGCCTCCGTCTAGTAACTTATTTATTCCAGCCTAAAGTTTCCCTGCATCTACGTCCTGCTTTCTTCTATTTAAATGTGTTCCCTGTGCTTCCTTTCAGTTTGGTCCTCAGATTATTCCAACTACTACCAGGGTTTGTGGGATTGCCAGGGCGACGAGTCAGACGAACTGACCTTCGAGAGAGGAGATCTCATCTACATCATCAGCAAGGTCAGCATCGCCATCAGGACAAAATAATCCGAGGGCTTATTTAGGCTTTTTTCACAACTCTTTGTTTTTCCCCTCGATCGTCCCTAATGGAAATCCGTCCCCGATTGCACGCTTGACTCGTAGATATAATTACTGGAGCAATTACAGTAGTTTAAAACGTGCAATTATTTAAGGGTTAAACAACATCAACTCCAGTAATCACCTCGTCCTCATTTACTTTCTGAACATGCTGATATCTCCAGCATCTAGATTTGTCCGTTAGCATCTTGGTGCAGCACCAACAGCGGTGCTGTCTGTTCGCGGGCCACTAGGGTGAAGTGCCATTCGGGTGCTGCGTAATGGTGCTGTTGTTCATTACGGCGCCTCTATCACAGGGGTTAATTGAGTAGGCAGCCATGCGAGGCTCTTCCTTTTCTGTCTGACGTGAAACTGCAGGTGAAGCCATCCTGCATCTCAGCTCTTTTCCTTCAATCTATTTCCTTGTGTTTTATGGCCATCGTGTAGTTACATGCGGAGTATCTACCAGGAAAAAGACATCCTACTGGAAATCGATGGCTTGTAATTTGGGTACTTTTACTCTGCTGCGTGCAGGGACTTGTCTCCACACTGTTGCTATTGGTTGGTTTCAAATTGAATCATCATGTTCTGTGTTTAGACTAAATTATCTGAAGAGGAGAGGCAGGAAGAAGGAACTCTTTTTTTTTTTCTTTTGTAAGTAATTATGAGCTTAGAGATGAGGAAATTATGTATTTAGTGTCATGATTTCTTGCATCTTTAATCACCAGTAGATTGTGGTGAATTTTGAGTATTTGTCCTTTTTTGGTTAACAACAGTTTCAGTGCAACAATCCTTTCAAAGAGGTCAGGGTTTTGGATTTTGATGTATGAATTGTGTCAGCTTGTGTTGAAGGAATGTGAGCCTCCTCTTTATAACAACAGATAAAGCACAGGTGAAAAATGCCCCTCGCAGAAGATGGACTTATAATTGCAGTTCTTTTGGCAGTGGCAGATTAATGAGATGCCAGGCTCGTCTGTCTGCGTGTGCTGCTTGATAGGGGGAAATGTCAAAACAGCCACATAAATTTTTCACAGCGATGACAAAAGCACTGTACTCGGGGAGACAAAGGGGTCCTGGCTCTGGGCTTCAGATCCGCCTCAGATGGCCTCGGCCCCACTCGCCGTTATTACTTTTCACTGTATGCATCAGATTACTGCCTCGCCAAAGACCTTAAAGGCAAACTAAGTCCAGGTTGGAGGCAGGAGTTTGCTGTTGTATCTCACAATCTTAATGACAGAGATTACTCTTGTTTTGTCAAACTGGACGCTGGAGTCATAACAAGGTGACAGACCACGAGAGAGCGCCCTAACTGCCTCCTAATAGACTTCAAGCGAGCATTGTAAATTATTTAAAGATGATGCCCGCACGACTTCCGAATGTTTGGTTTACTGTGACGACACGACTCCACCCGTGTCCCATTCTGCGTCCTAATAGCATCACATTCACCTCATGAATAGCATTATTTGGATTATAGCCTGTAATCGCCTATTCATTTTAATGAGCCCTCGGGGAGGGCTTCCCTGTGCCTTCTGTATGTACACGCAGACCCCCAGCGGCATTCAGTTTTACGGGGGGAATTCCTAAGGACCCTGACCTCGATGAGTGAAATACGGGCCCTTGGCTAGAACTCAAGCCCGTCGCTTAACGGGGGACCCAGGCACACGAAATGGCCGTAATAAAACCAGGGCCCATAAATTCTCTCAGAGGGTGGGAGGCCTGGTTGTCTGTGCTGTTATGTCAACACTGACCATAATTACAAGGTAATAAGGACACGCTCTAAGTGCTAAATCAATGGTGCTAACAAACTGTTATTTTTAAAGCTGCGATGTGATTGACTGCTGAAGTGCAGAATGGGATAGCCACAGGCGTGGTGTCATATGGCTGTGAACTGAGGAGAACATGCCGATTGTATAAAAGGCCCTCATCCATCATTATTGATCTCTCACTTACTGTAAAGTGGGAGCATTTTTACTGTATTTGTGTTTTTCCTCCCTCTTGTGTGTTGCTCTGTGTGTGTGTGTATCACTGACAAAGTAAATAAATTAGAAACCTCACAACTCATATGAATCCCATTAGTTCAACAGAATTAATCTCGCAGACCGTGCCGCCTGGTTTCAGCGATGCCTAACTCTGCCCTCCGCCGATGCTCAGCCCGCTGAAACATGAGGTAGAAACGCACGCTGAAATCCATCATGTGATTTTTTTATTTATTTATTTTTTTTGCTCTGGCATTTCATTTCTGAGAGCTTGCATTTTTCTGATGCACATTATGGCTTTACGCTGGCATTTTAGTGTGTGATGACAAATACGGGTGAGCGCAGTTCTTTTTTTTTTGCAGTGCACACTCTCCAATTTTAGATTTAAATTGCAAAGATGTTTCAGCCACATCAGGAGCGCTGTAACGGCATCATCGCCTCGCCGGCGTCATGCAAAGGGATATTATTTGTAGTAGGATTTAAAATGTGTTAAATTTATTGTTCCACTTCCCGCTGACACATGTAGTACCTGTAGTGCTTTGTCTCTAAAGCCATAAGGTGCATTCTTGCCCTCTAATTTATGGATCCACAATCAAAAGACGTGGGCTCTACAGGTCAGCTGTCACATTCCTGTATTCCCACAGGCACTCATGGAGAACGGCGGGATGGAGTGGGAAGAGATTTATGGCACAAACCCATCCAGGGTCCTTAAAACTCTGGCAAGTGCTGCCCCTGCTGCTGCTGCTGCTGCCGCCGCCACCACCACCTCTCTTCCTCCATCCCGTCCAACCAAAATCCAGAGAGAGGGCGGCCGGCCAGCCAATCCGGTGCGGCTCCCAAAGAAAAGCGTCACTGCACATTTGGCCAAAGTGTTCAGCTTGTTAGAGACAATGAGAACGTGGACACCACTGACACCTTGTGGTGGTTTTTAAACGCTTTTTTTTAATGAAAACTTTTACAACCACTGAAAGCTGATTTACGTCCTTATAGATGTACTTGTTGAGGGGTATAATCACGTAAAACTCAAGCTCGGATATTCACAATTTAAATTATATATTCCATGTTGTGTCCTTGCTAGCCGGGACAGTTTTTCATCATGTTGCCTTCATGTTCTCCTTTGGCCCTCTGCGTGCAGGCCACACCAGCTGAAAGCAAGTGAAGAAAAGGAAAAGTGGTCAAATAATCAGATGGGAAAAGTCAAGCCAGGGAGACAAAGAGGAGGGGATCCCTTTATTCTTTTGTGTGAACCCTGTCCACCCCCCCCCCCCTCTCTCTTTCTCCTTTTCGCTGTCACACAGCCATTTAAAGACCCCTAGCTGCTATTGTGGCCATAGACACCAAGACGCTATAGACAGGCAGAGACATCCTATTTACCACCCAAAGTAGCAGGGGGTGAGTCTGGGGTTTGGGGTCATGCAGGAGGCAGCGGTCATCCCCCGGTCAACTACAGTAGGTCATTATTCAGCCCAAGCCAATAGCCCAGAACAGCGTCCGAGCAGCCCACCCCCCAATCCATTCTGCTTAATTATTATAAATGAGGGGCGGCGTAAACAGCCATCATTACAGACACTCAGTGGCATACACAAATCCACTTTAAATTGCTATTAAGTTAAGGAGCTATCTGTAATCCCAGGCGTGCATTAGAAAGGAGCGAGTAGGTTTTCTTTTTATTAAATCTCATCGTCCCTGAGATATTTTCAAACGTTCTCATGCTCTGTCATGTTTCCAATTTGAAGCCAATTCGCTGATTTAATTAAAAGCCCACTTGGAAAAAAATGGACACCAAGTAGCCATTTCCATCTCTGGTTAAGCCGAGTTATCATCCGTGTTTCCGAGTAGATTTCGACCTCCCCACCCCATCAAAATAAAGAGAAGATCCTTCTACCCTGAAGTTTCAGGTGTTATCAGTTGTGAAGTGTACCTGTGTGAGCGGCGAGGAGGGCTTGCTAACCTGATAACAGGTTACAGATGGTGTGCTTGTGCCTGGCTGAGGTGTCCATGTTTCTTTATTAGGGTCAGCAGTGATGGAAGAACTGCAGAGAGCTGCAGTGCATGTGGTGGAGAGCGGGGAATAAAAACAGAGAGGATGCAGGCGGAAAGGTTGCTACAGGAGAGACGTGGAAGAGAGGAAAAAGAGAAGGTGGAGGAGGGGGTTGGAAATGGGGAAGGAGGGAGGGAGAGATTGTAACACCCAGGCGGCGGGTTCAGCGGCAGGGCAATGAGAGACTTCCTGCGCTCCATCATGCCCAAGGCCTGCCTCAGTCAGCTGGTGGCCGAGGAAAGATGCTTCATGTGTCAGGCTTATTAGCACTCCCCCTAGTTTGTATGCATTTGGGATTGCACGAGTGTGTGTGTGTCTGTGTGTGTGTTTCATGTGTGTGAGGAAAACATGTGGTCAGGATCCGTGCAGATTTTTACACGTGAAAAAGGTGATTTTTTTTTTTTCTTACCTGACACGAATATTGAAGATGTGTTTTGTTTAGGCGGATAATGGTGGCGTGACACGACACCTGCCTTCGCCCACCGCCCTCTGTCTGTCTCTCTCGGTCGCCACATCCAGCCAACCTCGACTCACCTTCTCCCCGCTTCGAGGCTCGGGGTAGCTGTCAATCTGTCCTGCGGGTCGGGGAGCCGTGAGCGATGGGCCTATCAGAATGCCACCATTAGCCAGCCCCCTGAGTGGTAAATAAACGATCGCGCCGGTACACTGCAGGTGTTGTCATGGCAACCCACTCTCAGTGCCAGCCCCGCCCACACCCGTTCTCCCCCATCGCCACCCCACCTCTCCTCTTGGTGGAGGAGTCACCGGGAGGTCAGCGAGTCAGCGTGCCGCAGCCGCCACGACACGGCGCTGTTTGCCCCCCACCACCACCACCACCATCACCACCACCTCTCCTCCCCTTTCAATCTGCGCCCAGGTTGCAGCAAACACAGCCTCGGATACGTGTCACCTCAGCACACGTTTCCCAGAAGTCAGACCCCTCAGGGAAACCTTATTTTTCCCCCTCACAAGGAACATCTTCCATTTTAGTCCCGAGCCCAAATGTTTATCTGTGCCCCGTTTGCGAGTTTCACGGCCTGAAAGCCAAAAAAACCAGAGGAAAACAAACAGAAGGGTGGGGAGTGGGGGCATTGAGGAGCCTAGTTTTTGTCATTTGGATAATTTAGTCTGCAAGCCTTTTGGAATGTCCCTATTACAGCAGGTGTACTCTGGATGAACCCATTTCAAGTGTGAGGAAGATGGACTCTGCACGCCTGACAGACTTCTACCGCCATTGGCACCCACTCCGTGATGTAGCAGTTGTATTAAAATGGCGACGCTGATAATCCAAAAGACCTTTCTCAGGGAGAATTTGAGACCGACTGCACAGATGGGCCGCGGAGATAAATAAAACTCTCTGTCACTACGGTTGGTGGAATAGTGCTGCGACGCCCCCAAGGGAGAGAAAAACTGTTTCGCTCCCTCTCTCCGATGCCTCCCCCCACCGTCCGTCTGTCTGCCCTCTCCTCCTCCTCTCCTCACGTTCTCCGAATGGGAACCGGAGCCAGCTTTCCGCAACCGGGCTTTTCCCTGCACGGTCTTATGGGGAGCATAAAAAGGCCATTTCGGCCCTAACTTTCCCCTTCGTTATGAGCTCAGACACAGCGAACTGTCAGTTTGTCAGAGAGCCAAGCACACTGGAGCATCCCAGTCAGAGCTGTCAGAGAGGTTTGCAGGGGGAAAACGATGAGGCCTGGGTGGACAATCTGCTTATTGTGGGTACCTGTTTGTGCTGTTAGAACACTTGAGCCTTGTGGTTTATTACCGTCTAAGCGGTTCATCCATCCTCGCTGTCCAAACACCGCTCATTAGCTGCAGGCCTCATTCCTCTGGCTGCAGAGAGGTGTCAGGTCCGGATGATCGGCTAAACCTCCTACACGATGCCTTTCATCATGTCAACAGAGTGCGCGTGAACCAGAACCTGAATCTGAATCTGAGGCATGCACTCAGCGGAAAAACCCACCAATTTATTTTACATATGTGTCTGCACGTGTGTGATAAACTGTCCGCACAATCGCGTCGGGTCTGAAAAAGAGGAGAGATGAGTGGCACTGGGGTTTCTGCTCCAGCAGGGTGGCTTGTGCCCCCACTGCCAAGCCGATCGCTTTCCAAATATTGATCCAGTACAGATCTACTCATAGCCCGGCTGCTGTGATCAGATCATCATGCAGCGGTTCAGTCATGTTCGTTAAATGCTTGAAGCAGCTTCATTATTTCAATGTACAGGTCTGGAAGCAGTGCAAACTGCTGTGTTCCCTGTATAAGTGTATATCAATTAACTTACTTACATTTGATTCGGCTTAGAGTTAACTGCGATTCTTTCAGCTACAAATAAACACACACAAAAAAATCCCTGTTTTCATAGAGATTCTAGTAGATTTCCCCCATGATAACCAAAGCATATGTTCAACCTCTATTTATTAATTTTTAAAGCCAAATTTTAGCCTCAAATAAATTTGCCTACATTATATTTTTAGGGTTTTTCTTCTAGGATGTTTTCTTTCAGTTCAGCAGATGAAAAATCAACATTTCTGGGGTTTCTTATCTGCACAAAGACTCATATGGTTTTCAGTCACAATACATCCTCCAGATCGATATTTATTGTTTGTTCTTAGCTTGTTTCAGGTTTTTTTTAAATCCCCATTATTATGCTTCTGAACTGTCCTAATTGTAAATAAAAGCTGTAATCATAAGTAATGAAAAAAACTGGTGTTTATGGGATTTTTTTTGAGGCACAGTGGATTTAATCGGTCACCTTCAACCAGCATTTATATTTTCTCTGAACATGCGCGTGAAATAATCCGTCTTTTTTGTGTTGTTTTTTTAATCACAGTACAGAAATGAACCCTCGTTATAATTAGTCTGGGGAAACGGGCCAGCTGTGGCGATGGCTTTGGAGCGGTTAAAAAAAGCTGTTTTATTGTAGACACTCGCTGTCTCGATAGCCTTGTTTACCGTTTGCCTCATTTTTTAATGAAAACCCTGGAGGCTAATACACCAAAAGTGTCCATTAGGAGTGTCGCGCATGACTCTTTGTGGACGGGACCACGCTCGCCTGGATTTCCTGCACCAGAGTTGACTTTAAGCATTTGTAACCTGATAGTTTTTCTCTGGGTTTCTGTGTTAAAATAATTCAAATGTCTCCTCTTGTGTTCAGTGGTGTGTCAAATCAGTATCAGTATCAAAGTGCAGGTTTTATGCCTGATCCCGCTTTGTTTACCTGTTCCTAGACGTCCTTTGAGCCTCACCGCTCTGTTTCTTCTTTTTTTTGGGGCCCAGGAGTACAACATTCACGGGTGGTGGGTCGGCGAGCTAAACGGCACCGTGGGCATCGTCCCCAAAGACTTCCTGCAGCCTGCCTACATCCTCTGAGCTCCAACAGGTACCGAGGTACTCTCTTATCATCAGCATTATGGACCATTACTGTGGCCTAATACACAGAAACGGTCCCCCTGGTACTCATCCAGATTGCCACTGAGGTATATGCAGTCGTTGACCTGCCATTTATGGCATCTGCTGGCTGGAAGAAGTACTGCATAAAGCAATCCGAGTGCTGCAATGGGCAATGGGCGAGGATAAATATATGCAACAGAGGCATGATTACAGCGTCAGTTGTCCTATTTAAGAAAATGATTCCCTAATGCAGTCAGATAGGTGCAGCTTAAAATGAACACTGAATTATTAATGCGTCTTTCTCTGATACGGTTTCTTTTTCTTCACAGCGCTGCGGCTGCCGGCACGTCCTGCCATGAATTACTCTTGACACATCTGTCAGATAAGCGTTTGGCATTTCAAAATTATTCCCCTTTTATACCAATGTAAATTATTATATTATCACCTAAACCTGCTGCAGCTGTACTTACTCTTGTACACTATAAGCCATTTATAAAAGCCTGTTTAAAGAAGAAAAAAAATCAAAGTGCACACTAGAGCTGGAGTAATTAGTCTGTTAATCAGTTTTGATAAGTGATCAATCGTCCTAAATGTGAGACTTCTCATTTTCTTTATAAGTCTCAACCACTGTGTAGAAAATTCAGAGAAGTGCCAAACTAAACAGTGAATGTGTTAATTCAAATAAAATGACAGACATCAATAATTAAAACCACCATTAGCTGCACTTTTGAGTGATTAAGAATGTTGCATGCATGCATTTATGAATCCACTGGATAAATCTGAAAACAGGACGTTGATTGTTAGTTTATAAATAATTTCCTCATAACTGACATAAGAAACAGTAATGTAAAGTATTTTAATGTAAACTCTGCTCAGAAATACTAAAAATAAAATATTGTGTGCTTTTGTTTCTGTTCTAAAGAAAAAGGGGGATTTTTAAAACTGTTTATTTGGAGCCACTAGGTGGCAGGCTTGCTTCAATGTCTTGAGTCGTGTGTAAAAAGCTGTTTAATAACATGTCGTGACAGTAAAGAGGACAAGGTTTTATTGAAATAAAATAAAATAATCATGTGCACATGTACATGGATACCATCACTCACATTATCCTCGTACTCTTTGACATCTGTATTTAAACAAAACTCAAAATAAACCCCTGTAGTTATTACCAGGAACAAAACCAGTGAAACGTTAAAATCCCTCCACAGCTTAGATGCAAACAGCTTATTAAAATAAAGTCTGATTTCTGTGCGAAACCTCACAAATAGAACCTGCCGGTCCCTTTTAAATGCAGCTTAAAAGAAGCAGAAGTGTTGTGGGAACAACGTCGCTGCCAAGATGCAGACAGGTTACAGGCAAGACGACCAGAATTTCCACAGCAGGCATTCAGGATGTGTTTGAACTCGCTCATTACGATGCCAGAGGACGACGGCACGATCACACTGGATGTTTCAGTGATCAAACAGGCTTAAAAATTTTGATATAACTGATAAATTACAGGATTTCTTTTAGTGATAACTCAGTTATTGTACCTTTGTATTTTTATTTAGCTTTTACTAGAATTTATTTTTAGCTTCCAGATTAGGTTTGCTTTGTTTTTCCTTTTTTTTTTTGTTAATTGAGGTTAAGTAAAATAAATATAAATATTAATTTATATAAATAAAATTCTATATTCATATTCTAAGATTAACCCAAGGTTGTTAGTTTTAACTAAAACTGTAATAAAATCAAGACTAACTGAAATTATATTGATAATGATGATTAAAATGAAATAGAAATAAAAAGAAAATTACTTTAACTTCAGTGTTTGTCTGGTAAACTTTTTGTTGTTTGAGATTTAGGATGTCTAACTGCCTCAAAAGGGAAAAGTTTGTACTGTAAAACCAAAAAAAAAAAATTTGACCAATGACAAATATCCTTTATATTTTAATATTTAGGTAAACTAAAATCAACACTGACACTAATAAAAACTGAAGTGAACATTTTCAAACCCACTCTGGGAATCAACAAATTGCACTGAAAAGGAAAGAAAATTGAAATAAAAATGAATTCGAAAATACAAAACTGCTGTACTTTAAGTGCATTGTGTAGCATGCAATAATACTCTTTACATGCAGATAGATGGAAAATCCATCATAAAATCCAGTGCATACAGAGTAATGAGTGATTTCAGACACACTCTGAGTTGTGGAGAGAGGAAAACACACAGGTGTGTTAATCATGGCTACATTTCACGCAGGGCAGGTCCTCTTTTTGGATGAACCTCAGTTGACGTGTTTCACAGGTGTCTGCTGTGGAAAAAGGCCCGCTGGAGTTAAAGCTCACATGTGTGAGGAAGAGTAAACTATTCTTAAAAATAACCTGTGCCCATCTTGCCTGAATGGAGTGTATAAATTATAAGTAAAAACTCTTAGTGTGTGTAAAACCATGTCATGGCCCTAAAGGTGCAAGGCATCCATTTCTACTTCATGAAGCTGTATAAACACAAAACAGGAATCACATTGTTACAGATCAGAAGTTCAAACTGGAGCCTCTGTGCATTTCACAGGTTGACTTAAGTGTGTTTTTTCCCCTCTCATCCTTCAGTAATAAATACCAGTTTAACACATGATCAGAGACGTGTGTACGGGGACTGAACTATGCGTATGCTTGTTCTCAGCCCGAGTATCATCCTGCGTTAGTGACCAGCACAGTGAAAGCTGTGAAGAATTAATACAAGCCGGGTATAACAGAACTATTTAACAGCATGTGAAGCACATTTAAAGAGCAGTTAGGTCTCATTTGAGGCTCCAAATGTGACGAGGAACTCTAGATTTAGAGAAAAGTTCACTTCGTTCAATGTCTGTCGTGAAAGAAATGTGTCAACTGATTATTTATTTTAGTGGCTTTCACCATTCCTCCTCTCCTTACTGGGAATTTAGAGATCCCCTTTTCAAAGAGATTTAAATAAAGGTTTTTCACATTGATCTTTTAAGTGCTGAATTTCCACTCTCTCTGTCCACTGTAGGAAGCAGTGTTGTGTTTACAAGTTAACCCCCTCCAGGGTTTTTCTAGGCTCAAAATGGGCCTCAAGAGTCAAAGTCAATGCAAAGACTCTGTGTTAACATGCTTTAACTTACAAAAAGAAAGAAAAAAGTCACAGTTCTGGTGATTTTGCTTTAGTAGAAAGCCAAAATCAATTTAGTGGGCACTAATTTTTTCATATGCAAGAAAAACCCTGACCTTGTGTTAGCATTTTTGGTTGTTTTTTTCTTTAATTAAATCAGGAAAACATCTCTTGATGGTCAGTATGAACAGGAACCACAAATTTCACTAAGTTTCAATACAGACACAAAGGAATGTGAACTTATCCTTTAATTTAGGTGGATATTTTTGCCTAAATTCAGCCCCAGCTGTTTCCTTACTGAAAGGCCTCAGAGTATGAACCTAAACTTAACTCGAGCACCTTCTGCTGTTCACTGAAGCCAAATGGAGAAGTGAAGCAGTCAGGAGGGAAATCAGATCCGGTACATAACAGAGAAATTCTAATGTTAGATTCATGCTGTTTTGGAAGTGTTATACCTACATGACTGAGAGTGTGAGGTGTGTCTCGTAACCCTGACGATATGAAGACGCTGTGTACGATGGGCAGAGTTTGGAACAGAGCGTTTGATTCAGTGGATCTATATTAGAGGAAGACTTAACTAATGCACCTCCACCTCCTGAGTCTCCTCTGAAGGTGAGAGCGTGGCTTCCTCCTCGGTACATCTACCGTCACCCAATCCACGAGCGTGGCTGGTTGCTAAGATACTAAAGTCTCCATTTTCAGTCAGATATCCTGCAGTTACAGCAGAGTTAAGGTCTGCAGATTTACTCAGGTCACTGAGGGTGTATTGCAGGTCCTCATCCTCCTGGGCAGAAAGGTGCAGTTTTTCATCAGGATATCCGTTCACCTGCAGGTCCATGATGTTCCTGCTGGATGCCTCCACATCTGACCAGCGAGTGGCGTCTTCAGGAGGAGTCTTCACAAAGTCGTTTGCAACCTGGATCGAGTCGTCTGCCTCCTCACAAACGCTTTCCTCATCACTGACCTTCACGATGCTGTCGTTGGAAGATGGCAGAGAGGAGCTGACCGTGTCGCCCTCGTCGCTTTCATCTTTGTTGCCAGCAAAATCCACTTCCTGTGTGTCATCACCATCCTTTTCCACCGCAGATACACCGTTCAACATGTGGGCCTCGTCACTGATTTCTGACTTGAGCAGCATTTCCTCGTTACCTCCTGCTTTGTTGCCTTTTTGGTCGTCTGCGTTGACTTCTAGAACATGAACCTCATTAACCTCAGAGATGACGGGATTCTCGGTACAGATGTTTTCCATAGCTTCCTGAGATCTGGCATCACTTCCTAAAATGTGTTCATCACAGTTATTTTCCTTAAAATCTAAAATCTTCTCAGAATCATCACATTTTTCAGGCTCACAGTTGACTTTTCCTTCATGAGCATCCTCATTACTCTCCTGCAGCTCCACCTTTTCTTCTTCACCTGGAGGTAAAACAATCTTCCCATCGGTCACACTGTCCTCAAAGCCGATCCCCGTGAACGTGTGCACCTCCACCGGAGTCTGTAACCTCTGCTGGATCTGCTCAGCAGAGCTAAGACTCTCTGGACTGTCCCCCAGATAAAAGGTTGCCTCTGACGGGCCGCTGTCCTCAAGAACCGTTTCAAGAACGGCCTCAAGATGGTTGCTCTTCTGGGAAATCCTTACTGAGCATTTCTTCCTATGGTCCTGATCATGGACCTCCAGTAAACCTGCTAGAGGGTCAGCGTCACCACATGAGACGAGCTCCGGGCTGATGGTCTCATTAGGTTGTTGGCAAGGTTGATGAGGAGCCGGGCTGTGGAGGAAAACAGGAACAAGGGTTTAGAAATTGTTCAGTTTAAACATTTTATACATTTAATGAGGAGTTGATACGTTGCTACTAAAGGGGAGAGGTGTAAGGAAAAGCTCTAGAATACGGAGACTATGCTGGTTAGCTCAGCTTAGCACAAAAACTCCAGAATGGAGAAGTAATCATCCAATAAATAAATAAATAAATCACAAAATCAATCATCCAATCCCAACAATTTACATCTTTTTTTTTGTAATGTGTTAAACAAGATAAAGAAGAAAGGGCTCTATATAACTGCCAACATTCAGCTGAATTAAGAACAAGCAGCAACATGTAGGGCTAAAAATCCGCAGTTCCTGTTATGGCCACTTGAGGCTGGCTGCAAATGAGTCAGTCCCCCATAGACATTGTTAAAATGCCCAACTTTACTACAGAAAAAAAATACAATGGTCTAATACAAAAAAAGGTTTTGGCCTCTTTGGGTAAATTTTTTTTTAACTCATCAATTTGGAAACTTCTAGACTTCACTTGGCCTTCTCCACCATATTTGTAGTACTTTTGGAGTATTTTTAAAGTGATCTGTTAATATTGTCTGCTTTGTGTTTAACTGAGCTAATAAGTTTGTGACTTTTGGTAAGTGAAATTCTAGATTTTTTATTGGTTATTTAGGAAAACTTAAAATTCAATCCTCTTGTGCAAATATGGATGCTGCTGGCTTAAAAAACAACAACAACATCAACGATGACAACAACAACAACAACATGGTAGCTGCTAAATGTTAATGCTGAGGCTTCAAATGTCTCAGTTGGTGAATATAAATAGTCTATTGTTTACAATCATAGACTGTATATAAATGATGGACAAACATATAGACATGTTATATCTACTCTCAGGTTTTAACATGGAAGTCTATTAGATTGGCTCACTTTTGGAGTGAGCCTCAAGTGGGCATTAGAGGTACTGCAGTCATTGTTTTTAGCCTGTGACATTGGTTGCTGT